CTTTATATTCGTTCGTAACTCCATTTTTTGATGGGTTTATGTCGTTTATACATGGAGATGGAGGAGCTTATATACAGGGGGGAGCTTATAATATATACAGACGACATTTGATGTTAGTAATAATATTCATTACACCTTAATAATATTCATTATATTCGTGGGAGGGGGGGGGGGCTTATATTCGGAATGGCCTGAGGGTTAGTGAGTGAATATAGTATGTTTATTGGCTCGTCCTATAGAGGATACAAACAAGCTAAAAACGTCTTGCATTTATACCGGCTTGATTGAATTTTCCTTTTGCTGTAATGCAGAACGACATGAAAGCATGCTCGGATTCAAGCAGCCGCTTTAAAAATATAACAAGAGTAAACCTGGCCCTGCATGCCTTCTCCCCTCCTGTTTCAAGCCCCCTTGTTTGAGTTTCAGGACTACAACACTGCTCAGAACAGTTGTCAAACTAAACATTTAATCGGGTATTTTTACAAAAAATGACATCTTTTCTGCACAATATCTGAATTACTACAGCACATAGCCTACAAGTTATACCATACTACTACTACAGTAGCTATGTTTCATGACTTTATTTCAGTTTTGCTGCTTTAATCACCTTTGAAAAAATATATATCATTATTCAGACACGACAACAGAGTAAGAAAATTTGTTTAAATATTGAGGTATTTGAAATCAATATGACAATAAAAAGTACGTTGACCTCGAGCGCCTGTATTACACTATAATGCTTTTCAAAAATGACTCAGTAGACAATACTGTCAATGGAAACTCAACTCTAAGTCCCGAATATTTTAACTTTCCGCCGCTGGCATCTCACACAGCTCTGTGTGTAAAACGCAAAGCTTTCAATTTTCATGGCATTAGTCCCAGCGATATAAAGGTCCACACAGACCGGACGCGATTCGGCAACGCGACGCGAATGTTCTGTCAGTTTTCAAAATCAAATAAAACCGTCAACGGGATTTAGACCGAATAGCTAAAATTGCTTAAGTGGTCCGAATATTTGAAAAACACTGAAAAATATTAAAGTTAAATGTCATTGAGAATTGAAAATTCTCGTCGCGTAGCCAAATCGTGTCCGCCTTAAAGGCTCTATTCTTAAAGGCTCTAAGGCTCCGTATGGACCTTAAGGGCTCTTTTCCACTCATCGCAAAAACAGCTCGCGGCGAGCTTGCAAACACTCGCAGCGATGTTAAATAATTTCAACAATATTTTCTGATCGCGCGAACAAAGAAGACCAGTAGCCAATGGAATTCGTTGAAAATATCAGTTAAACATTATATTTATCATATTTATCATATTTATTTATCACCCTCACGTTTTAAATACTTGAGACGTCCTCTCCTACATCGTCTTAAATAAAGTAAGAGCAAAAGGCGCCGAATTAAAGCGGCCGCCATTTTGCAAAAACGTAAATTAGTCACCCGAAATGACGAAGTGTGGAAATTAACCAGCGAGCTCGCGAGGACTCGCATGCTCACTGCGAGCTGTTTTTGCGATAAGTGGAAAAGAACCTTAACGCTTAATAGAGCGGCTTGTTTGTTAAAACTCACATCTGTGTGCTTTAAATTGGCAAATGTATCCATAGGGGCGGATACAATTGACGTCATTCCATTTTCCTTTTCCTGAGCCATGCGAATACATATGGGCACAGTTTTCATTGTTCGAATGATTATTTGGCTCCCCCGAATTCCAGCGTTTGAAACTTAATGCTTTTCCACAGGTATTATAGAATTTCGCATCTTGTCGTCGTCTGCAAAAAAAAGAAAACTTCTTGCAAAAATACAATTATCAATGATTTTTATACCATTATTTTCATGACATACAGTATTAATACTAAATTTCGAATGGTTGAAAAGCATGCACTTAATTTCCACTACAGAACCTTTTTTTCTACTGACTGTCGCATGCTTGCGACAGTATAGGAGTTGCAGTGCGTAAATTAAGCACACAACTAGAACAACTCGGCTACGTTGTTGTAGGTGTGCTTGATTTGTACAACCGTATACAATAAAATGTTAAAGTTAGATTGCTATGCAGTGCACCGGAATCGCAGTGCCGCAGGTTCAATTCCTGCCAGGAACCTAAAGTTGCATTTTTCGCTTATTGTTCCTGGTAAGGTCTAATAAATGTATATAAATTTCCACTTGACAAAAGTCCATCTACAATACACATCTAATACTATTCATTCGAGTGAGATGTAACAAAAATCTTGATATTTATACCCATGCATTATAACCTATACATGGCAGTACCTTAGTTATAAACGAACTTGTCGTTAGAGCTTGAAAACTGACCTCTGTAGCTCAGTTGCATGGTTAGAGCGCTGCACCGGAATCGCATGCATGGCCGCACGTTCAATTCCTGCAGCCAGGGACCTAAAGTTCCACTTTTCAGCTTCTGTTTCTGGTTAAGTCTAATAAATGTATATAAATTTACACTCTGTAATTTTCATCTACACTATACCCATCAAAGTTAGATAACACTTTCTTATACAGCATGTATAATTGAGATACCTGGAGGCACCAATCCACGGAGCATTCATTCCAAGGGTATTAGCACGTTGACTGAGAAGATCGCATTCTGTGTTGCTGGTAGGAATGACTAGATCTCCACCACGTTTCAAACAATCTGCGCGAGCTTTGTCCCAAGTGACCTTGTTCTTCATAAACGTATAACAGCCATTTAAAATTTTATGCGAACCACAAGGGCAGTGCATAGTATCTGTATATAGGATAAAATTCGTTATGCTTCATCTTGAATGAATGAATGAACGAATGAATGAATAAAAGACTTTACAATCTGAAGACTCTTGTCCTATGCGAGTGCAAGCTATTCCTGGCACCAATTTGTTAGCGAAACAAATCGTGGCGTGTCATATAGGAAATTTTCTTTCAGAAAAGAAAATTGTATTGATGTGACAATGCATGCATGCTCGTGTGGAATACTACATATATATATATATATAGATATATTCTCGAAACTAAAGTCAGTTAAGACCAGGTTAAGATCCTCGCTAACGCAGAAATATCATGAATAATTTAATGATTATTGCTTCTAAAATTGGAATTAAAAATTCATAATCCTTGTGGCAAATCATGTCAGCCATAATATGTCACGTGAAGTGACTTTATAGCTGATAAAACTCATCTTCATCAGTATTCGTTATATAATTGTTCATCCTAATTAGTATGGTTATATCATTGTTCATTCTAATTAGTATTTTTTTGTATAGTCGTACTTTAAGCTATTCAAAACACCCAAACTCGCGTTTTATCATATCTAAAACGCTCGGTTGCGCCTCGCGTTTTACAGGTAACGGTAAACTACGTGAAGCGTTCCTCTTTAGAGTTCCTAAGTTGATTGCAATTTTCGTCATTACCTTAGCAAATTTGAAAAACTCCCTTGCAAATCCCTTGAGGGAATTTGCAATGTTCTTAAGAGCAAAATAAATTTTCCTCAGTTCCTGTTAGAAGTTCTTAACTTCCTGTTACAAGTTCCTAACTTCCTGTCCTGTTCTGTGCGTTGCAATTGGCCAACAGAAATAATCCACCAATGAAAACGATAAGAACAGAACAGGAAGTTAGGAAATTAAAACAGGAAGTTAGGAAAATTTGAAAGGAACTTTCTTTGCGTTGGAATATTGCAAGGGCCGACAGGAAAATTGCAAATTCCCTCAAGGGATTTCCGAAGGGTTTTTCAAATTTGCAAATCTAATTTTGAAAATTCCAAATGAGTTAGGAACTCAAAAGAGGAACGCTTCACGTAGTTTACCTGTAAGTATGATAAAACACTCCTTCTCGTGTTTTAAATACTAGATATAGAGTTCATATAATGTAGTACAGCTTACATTGCCCATAATTGGCTTCAATACTGCTTGCGCATACAGCGGCGAATATGAGAAGTACTTTGAACATCATTTTCAAATTTCTTTCCAAGTTCTTGTCCAACTATTTGAGTGTGCTTGAATCTTGCTCCGTATTTATAGGTACGTAATATTACCTTAAAAACCACAGGATGTAAATGTCAAGAAGAGAAAATACGGATTTCGTGTCATAAGTGAAGTTTTGATCACCGCGCGAATGACAAACATCCACGTAAATTGAGAAAAACCCAGAACATTCTAAGCTGATACAGGTTAGTAAACAGATAGCTGTAAAGTTATTTGAATTATCCCCGAAACGGTACCGTCTGTAGTTTGATATCGCTCTAGGGCCTTTAGGTCATATTGAGCGCTCTACAGGATGAGCCATTCCCGCTTACGCATTGCGCACGCTCACTGCTTGCAGTTTGAGTTGCAGCTTGCAGTCGCCCATCTGAGTACGAAATTGTGGAGAAATCTCGTAGTCCTCACTACGACTTTTCAAAAAAAACAAAGAAAGTTGGCTTTTTTTTGTTTTCCAAAAATAATTTGTAGCATTTATATAGCGTTTATCCGACTCAAATAATATATTAGTATACTAAATATCTGGCCTGTTTTTAATGTTATGACTTATTTACGCGTTTTCTAGGGGATTTTAATCTGCAGGAGATTTAGTTTATGAAACTTTTTCTATCATTGTTGGTTTACGTATACTGTTATAAAAGCAACATTTGTTAAAACCAACATTTTTAAAGCATCATTGATAATTGTATTTTAATTGACAATTTTTAACTATTATTTGATGTTTCTCAACCGGAAGATGCATTTTAAAAGGTAGCTAACTGTATAAACTGGAGAATAAAGCTAAAACAAAGTAATTTTGAGAGAAACGCCAAAAAGATTTTAGGTTTTGAACACTTTTCATTGCAAATACGTGACATTGGAAAAAATTGCCTCTTAAAAGTCTGTCTTATATAATTTATGCGGTTTTTTGTACGTTTTCCGATGATGCAAGTAATTTTTATTGTAATTGAATACAGAATTTCCCATTTTTTTGCAGTAATACAATTAAATAGAGGATAATTATTGATCACCCATTTTCTCGGGATTGGGCAACTTTTTTGCTTGGGAACTTTTTTTGGTAGTGATGTACCTATATGCCTTTCAAATAAACCCCAAACCAAGTATTTCCCACATGGGTGCCACGAAGCGAAATAGTTTTGGCCAAAACTGCCCACGGCCTAATATATTCCCATACAAACGACCACAAACTAATGCCACTATCGATTGCAAGAAGGTATTAGATTTCACGGCGGCACTATCTTCATTGGTTGAAAACTTGAAAGCTCGATCATGCGGCGCGCGAATATTCAAATATTTCGGCTTCATTGTGTGTTTATACTGCTATTGCATAGCGTGATATAGTACTGGTATTTGAAATGCAATATTTTGAAGTCCAATTTTGATTACCCGTGCTGCTCGGCAGTGGCGTAGCCAAGAAGGGACGAGGGGCGACCGCCCCCTCCCCCAATCGCCACAAAAACCGTTCTTTCAAAAAGCCTAAATCTATAGAGAAATTGGGGGGGGGGGGGATACACGTTGCATTCTCGAAGTTAAAACTAAGTTTCGATCCTAGACAACGACGATTTACTGGAGGAGCTTGATCTTTAATCTTTAATCAAGTACTCCTCAGACAGTTTACACTATACCAGGAGATAAATAGATGTGTGAAAATTTCGATGATTTTCATCTTTAGATGTGTGAAATTTCGTTAAAGCATTTGTATATATGATTCAAAGAAGAATAGATTTAGTTTAGATTTTCGACTGTTAAATTGGCATGTATATATCATCACCATACCATTGAATATTTTTTCTCAAATTTGTTATGTATGCCATGCATCTTATGAAAAGTAGCCTAATGCAATTTTGAGAATTCGAGAAATGCGTTTCGTACAATTACTTAAATGCAAAATTTCCTATCAAAATTACATTGGGATTTTCTTCGCCCCTCCCCCACCACGATCGGCATCACACACAGAAGGAAAATAAATTAGTGACACGGACTCCTCTTCCAGTTTGTCAACGTGATTTTTCTATGCAATTGATTTAGATCGGAAGAGAAATATCTGGTAAAAAATCATGTCTTTGATGCACTTTATAATCCTCGGAATTCTACAAAATTTCACTCCCAAAATGCTTCAAATCGCATTTCCGGGACTGTAGATTTCAAATTTTGGAATCTCACGCCATTGCGGTTGGCTTCGCCCCCCCCCCCCCCCCCCTCCCATCAAAAGATATAGAGCTGTTGTTACGCCACTAACAAATAGTGATGGACGATTCCGATACTTTTAAAATCGGTATCGTTAGATACCGATACCTATTTCGATACCAAAATAAACACAACATTTTAATATTATCGATACCGGAAGTGATTACTTAAATTGCCGGTATCGGCCACTTTCGATACCCGCCGGTCAGCGGCAAAACATTTACATTATGTAACCTAAATAAAGCTATAAGTAAACCAAATGCCCGAAACGTAATAGATATTTTCTATGCATGACTTGGTGCACCACATTTGGAATATTAAGAGTTATTTTAGTGCTTTATTAAGTCTTATTCAACCAAGAAGTAAAACTAAACAAGTCGTTCAAAAAAGGGTGCATACCAATGCCGCTGTTTGTGGTATCACCAGTATCGAATACCGAGTATCGCCAATCACTACCGACGCTTGGTATCGTCATCGGTATCGCTCGGTATCGCCCATCACTATACTGACAAACTAGTCAGTAGGAAATGGGAGTTAAGAAGCCGATTTTGAATGACATCATTTACTATATATTTTTCAACTTGAAAATTAAAAGCCATAATTCACATTATTTTGCAACCATGCTCGTTCACCTAATTTAGATAACACGCCGGTGATTCAGAATAAAGAAGTTCTTTTTAAAATCATTTGAATTCGGTCTCCCAAGAAGAGATGTTATAAATATACAGACAGCTTGTCTGCTATAAGCAATTATACACTTTAATCCATTGCCAAAAGCTATGCCAAAAGCTAAAACCATTTTTAAATTAATTGATAATTTTCCGTAATTTGGAGATAAAAAGATATTCACTACGATAAAAAGATATTCACTATTTGTTGTTTTTTTCCTTAATTTAGATATTTCGTTATCTTGACTCTTGATACCATTGCAATAAACCACAAAAAGATCCTTGACCCTGTAGGACCTAGTTAACATCTACGCTTCTCACGAAAATTAATGTTTACGAATTTTAACTGTTACAACTACGTGAAATAGGGTGTGTTTGTGCCACAATGGCAAGTGCCTTTTATTTATACATTCCTGTACCTCTGATGTAAGTGAGAGTTCTTTCAGAATCGTTGACTCAACCAAACACAATGGATCTCCAAATTTTATTTAGAGCTGATAGAGCTATGCAGTATCAGAACTATAAAGTTAGTTTAGTTTTCATGTTCTACTTGTACTGTTGTAATACTGAACCACTATCGGTGAGAAAAGCAGTTTAGCACTGAAAGAGCTAGCTACCCATTATCAACATCGATATTAAACTTGAAACTAATTTCAGTAAACTTGAAACTTTAATTCAGTTAGTTTAGGTTTCCTCACGTTCACTT